CGCAGCCGGGCGCACGGAGCCGCCCAGCCCCACTCTTAAAGGGACCCGGATCGGGATCGGGGCCGGGCTGCAGCGCAGGAGGGGCCGGCGACAGCTCCCTGCGGGGCTGCCCCGGGCATCGCTCACACCTGGGCAGGGGGCTGTGGTGCCCGTCTCTTCTGCACGCACAGCTTTGGGCAGGGATGCCTGCTCTAGCAAAGCCCTGCCCGGTCCCTCCAGGGCTGCAGCACCTTGCACCCCAGGTGCACTGATCTTTGCAGCCCCCCTGCTCTGGGGGTGGCATCACAGAAGGGCGCAGCGGCTGCTCATGGTCCCACCAGTTTGGGGGTGCCGCCGGGAACTGGAGAGGGGCGTCCCGAATCCGCGGACCAGTCGTCCTATGCCTGCTTGCAAACCGCCACCATGCTTGAACCCGCACATGTCCGAAGTGGAGAGGTGCTTCCCACCCAGCCCAGCCCCATGGAGCCAGCCCCAAACGGAGCATGGGCCCAGGCAAAGCAGAAGCGGGGAAACACATGTGTGGAAACGTGCCTGCAGCGCGCCACCGCCTCCAGCAAACCCTCCTAGGCCTGGAGCGGCAGCCTGTTATCAAATTGGTGCGAGTTTAGTGACAGATCGCTTTAATTTTGCATCCGTGCCGCACTCCCTGCCTCGCCGGGGCTCGGCGGAGATGCTCCGAGCGCCGGCCGCGCCGCCAAACTCTTGACAGAACGGTATTTTCCTGGAAAGAAATGAACGCTTCCCACGGGGACTTTGCCCAACTCGCAATAAAGCCTCTCCGATTCCAGGGGAAAGCCGTTCATCATAACACTGTCTGCACCACCGGGCGGTTGTTCCCTTCGGGAAGCGTGCTCTGAATCTCAACAGCGATACCTGTGCGCGAAGGAAAACGCGGAGACGAGGCCGGAGACACGCGAGGGAGGGGGACCGGCTCCCTGCCCCGAGCCCGCCCTGACGGTCCAGCACCGTGCAGCGACCGGACCACAAGCATCCCTTTACCGGCGCCCATTTGGAGGACATCAGACCGCACATCCTGGGTGCACCCGCGGCTCGGACCGAAAGGCTGCAAGCTCCTAATTGCGGCCTTGGATCAAAACCGGTGTAAACGGCCGGCCGGCTCCGCGGGGGGATGCTGTTAGCAGAGATCGAGGGGAAAACGTCCTGCGACAAACGACGCCCGTGTCCCGGCATCCGCCGTGCGGCATCTTCTCGACTCACGGCTCGACCTGGCGTTTAGGACGCCTGGGATTTGCTCTGCGGGGCTTGGAGCCGGTGCCCGGCCAGCTCTCCGCGGCCCACGTCGGGGCTGCCAGCGACAGCAGCGCACGCGCCCGGCGCGCCAGGGCTGCAGCATGCACGCAGCACCCTGCCCAGGGCCTTCCAGCAGGGGGGCAAAGGTCATGGGCGACCCCCAGGCAGCGCCCCCAGCTGGTGCAGATGGGGCCAGGTAGGGGCTGTGCCCCCAGGCTGGGCATGGCTGCCCTGGGCAGCAGCCCCCACGCTTGCCTGGATCCCAGCCCCAGATGGTGCCCAGGGCCCCAGCACCCAGGCCTGGGCCGCCCCTGCCAGCTGCTGCCCCGAGCGCGGTGCACGGCGCTGCACACCCCGCGAGCAGCAGCGCCCCCTCCTGGGGCTGCTCGGGGCTGCAACGCGGCACCCACTCCTCCCCCCCGCGCTTCGGCACCGCTTGGTCGCGCCCGAGACTCCGCGCATGCGCGCTTCCTCCCGCGCCAGGGACAGGGCCGGGCACCTTGCACATACGCATGCGCTTGGTGGACGCGCTCGTGTCCCGCCCCAGACAGGCACCCTGTTTCTGCGCATGCGCCTCGTCGCTGGACGGCCCTGGGGCGTGCTCTGCGCATGTGCGACGGTGCTCCAGCTCCGCCCTCGTGTGTCCGCAGGTAAAGGGGGGGTGCCCCTCCCCCCCACCGCCTGTGGCCCCGAGACCCTCGTGCAATGTGGGGGAGGGGCGGTGCAATAAGGGGGCTGTTGCAATAGGGGGGTGGGGTTGTTGCAGTGGGGATATTGCAATGGGGGGTTGCTGCAACAGGGGGTGGAGCTGTTGCAGTGGGGGGGCTGTTGCAATATGGGGGGTGCAATAGGGGGCTGGGGCGGTTGCAATGGGAGGTTGGGGCTGTTGCAATGGGGGGTTGCAATAGGGGGGTCCGGAGCACTGGGGTCTACCTGGGTGACCTGCTGCCTGGGGTAGGCCAGGGCTCGTGCTCAGGTGTGCCTGGCACCTCCGTGCAGGAGTGATGGGGGCGGGGGGAGATGCTCACCGCGTGTGCGCTGGGTGGGGGCTGTGGTGTCCACCTCTGTGTTGAGCTGGGGCACTGCTGGGATCCGCACCAATGGCCTTCTTTCCAACCCCCCCTCAGGCCCCCGCCATGAACACCGCGCAGGGCACCGTGGGCAGCGACCCCGTGATCCTGGCGACCGCCGGCTACGACCACACGGTGCGGTTCTGGCAGGCGCACAGCGGGATCTGCACCCGCACCGTCCAGCACCAGGACTCTGTATCCTTCTCGCGCCTGCACGGCACGGGGCCTCCAGCCCTGGCGCCTCCGACAGGGGTCGTGGGCTCTGGTAGGGCCGGAGAGCCCCGGCGTTGGTTTAATTCCCCGCGTAGCCTGTCCTGAGAGGATAGCAGGGATTGCCAGGACCCAAAGTCCAGCGGGGCTGGAAGGGAGCTGCAGAGGTCGCCTCTGCCTGAGGCAGGATCAGCCCTGTGCAAACCATCCCAGACCGATCCATCGTCCAGCCTCCTGGCAAAGCTACACACCCCTACCCCAACACAGCATATCACACCCTGACATGCCATCCATATAGCAGGGGGACTGCTGCAGCCAATGTCCTGCTTCTGCGCAAGGTTTTAATATCTGCTGCAGAAATCCCAAATAGAGGCCACACCTCCTGCTACAGGGGAAGAAAGCCCCCCTCTCCCATCCGTAGCAATCTGACCAGGGGGCAGAGTTCCTCCCTGACCCCAGTGCGGCGCCGGTCTGACTCCGAGCGGAGGGGCGAGACCCCCTAGCTTGGCTCAGCCGTAACGCACAGATCAAACTCTTGGTCTGAGCTTCGATCCCGACTCTCGTCAGCAGCTGAAACCTCCCAAAAGCTGCAACGGTAGCAGCGATTGAGTCGTGTCTTTATACTGTGTGTGTTACATTTGTAGCATGTCGGGAAACGGGCCTAATGATGCCAAATTGGAGGAGACGGCAGAAGTACAGACCGCAACTGAGTCTGAGTTAGTTTGGTGGGTCAAATAAAAAGGAAAAACCCCGTCCCACCTCTGCGCATGTGCTCAGTAAAGAGGGGTGGAAAAAGGGGTTTTGTAGGACTTGTGCAAAGGTGGGGTGTTTTGCCCTCTCCTGACCATGCCATGACATTGCCTCAGACTCTGGTTTTCCTAGATTAGTGCAAAATCCTGACAGCCTCTTGCAGTAGTTTGCAGATAATCCCCGAAGTGAGGGGAATGGTGAATAACAAAGGGGACAGGCCGTGGTACGGAGCGATCAGGATTGTTGGTGAACTGGATACAGACGGGACACTCGCTGTTCGACATGGCCAGCTTGACATCAGGCCGGCGGGGAGGAGGTTCCTTTTCCCCTGTACCACACACAGCCCCTGCCTCCTGTTCTGGTGTCTGCGGCCCAAGGAGGCTGTGGATGGGTTGGGAAGGTGACGAGATGGGCTGTGAGAGTGACTAAGGGGTTGGGGACATGCCTGTGAGCGAGAAACTGCTGCCTGTTGAGCTTCAAGGGAAGGAACAGGGACGCTGAGAGGCACCTCTTGGGTGGGCAGGCCAAGGTCTAACAGGATCCGGAGGCTGGATTTGGAGCTAGAGGAATGAAGGCTAGAAACGAGGCAGAAGTCTTTGAAGGATTCACCGTTGGAACAGCTTACCGGTGGATCCTCCACCCCGAGCATCACTCAGCTCCCGGAGGGTTGTTCTTCCTCGGTGATATTCTGCAGGTCAGACAAGAACGAATTCGGGGCAGTCCCTCGGCCCATGTCACCGGTTAGAGTAGAGCCTTTTGGCTCGGTCATGGATTAAGTTGGTGGCCGGGCAGGGAATGAGCAGACACCACACAGACTGGTTTTCTGCTCCAATAAAAGCCCAAGAGAAGGGAAAATAAATAGGGGCAGGAGTCAGAGGACAAGAGTGAGGAAAGAAAAGCTGGAGTGAACAGTGGCTGGGAAAGGAGGGGGTGAGAGAGTGCAGACTCATTGCCCCCGCCGCGTGCACACACGTTCAGTGAGCCAGAGCTGCTCTTTCTGCATCGGGAAGCAGGCCCAGCGATGCCCTGCATCTGTCGTCTCTTCTGAGGGTCCTTCTAGAGCCTCGTACCTTCAGGCCCTCTGACCGGGGCGTGGGGCAAAGCAAAGATCTCTCCGCGGTTAGACATTTTCCTTGCAACAGCACCGTCGCGGCTGAGCTAAACTTCAGAGTTTGAGGAGACACGGGTGGCAAAGGTAGAGAGGAGCGGTCAGCAGATGGTGTTGGAGGGGAAAGTGCGTAGAGCTGGAATCGGGCCAGGCCTTTGTGGGGCGGACAGAGCAGGCTGACGTGTCCTGCCATGTTGGAGTCATCAGATGCGCTCTTTGGCGTGAAACGTCGGGCATGCGGTGGGGCGCCGAGCTTCCCTTTCCAGTCGAGATTGTTCCCAAAGAAAGGATGCCCGGTGAGAAGCCCCCGCTAGGCTGAGTTTTCTCCAGGCAGGGTGAATTCAAGGGAATGCTTTCTCCTGCTGCAGAGGTACTTGCTTGCTCTGTCAACCTTAACCAGCACCTCTAGCAAGTGAATGCTCTGGAGATCACCCCGGACCGCAGCATGATCGCTGCTGCAGGTGAGCCCTGCCCGCGTTCCCACGCCCTAGTCGGGGGCATGCGGGGAAGAGAGGAGTGTTTGGTGGTTTCTGGCATTGGTTTCCAACTGGTGTGTGGTGACTTCACCCTCGTGCACGCGATCCAGCTGTGGTGCCCCCAGCTACATGCTCGGACATGCAGTTACTGCTCATGTGTGGCTCGCCAGGGCTCACCTCCCTGGAACCCCTACGAGGCGTGCGTCTGCTCTGGGACCCACAGACCCTGCTGGGCAGGGTGATGTGGGGACAGCCTGCCTTGTACCGAGGTTGGGTGGCCCTTCGCAGAGGGGGCTTTGGCCGGTGTGTCTGACACCTGCCACGTGCGTCTGGGTGCTCGCTCATTGTCATTCTGGCTTCCAGGTTACCAGCACATTCGGATGTACGACCTGAACTCAAACAACCCCAACCCGGTCATTAATTACGACGGCGTAAGCAAGAACATCACCTCCGTCGGGTTTCACGAAGACGGCCGCTGGATGTACACGGGAGGCGAGGACTGCATGGCCAGGATATGGGACCTGAGGTACCCGCTGAGGCCGGCGCTGCTCCATGGGGGTTCCCTCCTCGGACACATCTCCTGTCTCCATAAGCCCTCTGAGCCGTGACCGTAGCCAGCAACCACGGGGCAGTACCTGGCTGGGAGACCTCCAGGGTGGCCACTCAGAATGAGGGGTTCAGTGTCTTTCCTCTGAATCAGTATTGCACCGCTTCTGGTGCTCAGAGGCTGCTGGCGGTGTCATGTGGATAAGAGGGAAAAGCCAGGTCGTGTCCATTTGTGATCTTTATTCCCTGGCACTTCTGGTTTAGCCCAGGGGTCCCAGCTGGTTTGGGTGATGGCCTTCTGCTTCCCTCCGACCCCTTTGGAAGTTGCAGGTGGATCCGGCAGGCTTCACCTCCAGCCCAACGCCCTTGCATGCAGTGAGCAAGCCCTCTTCAACACCTGCAGGGGCGGCAGGGAGCTGGTACAGGCCTGAGGGAAGCAGGAGATCTCGTTGCAGCCGCTTCTCTGACTCTTCTCGTTTGTGTTCATTCTGTTGCAGGTCACGTAACCTTCAGTGCCAACGTATTTTCCAAGTGAATGCTCCTATTAATTGTGTCTGCTTGCACCCTAACCAGGTAAACGCACACCGTTCTGCGCTTGCTAGGCTCGGGGAGGCTGCTACAGATGTTCTGCGTCTCCCGACTAGAAACCTGACGGGCTACATGACTGGCGGTCATTGCAGAACATTGTTTTTTCTAAACGGACTTGTTTTCCGCTCTGACAAGACTTGAACTTGCTAGGCTTGAGCTCCTGTCTCGGCATTAAGTACCAGACACGGAAGTCGGTCAAAATTGAAAGAGTTTCCTATATCTGGCAGCTGAGAAAACCCCCTGAATCCGCGCAGAGAAGGGCACCCTTGAGTACGGGCGGGTGATGGAAACTCGTGATTGCTCGGTGCTGCTCCAAGCACTAGATGGTATCACTGTGTGTGATTCTGTCATTTATTACCTGAGCGCCTTGCCTCTGGGTCCCGTGAGAGTATCTGCCTGTTGACTTAGGTTGAACTGAGACCTTGGGACCTGCTCCATGGAAGTGCGTTCCCTCCCGCTCTGCTCGTGAATGCAAAACCTCCCTTGTGCAGGAGAATAGAAAAAAAAAAGAACTGAGAATATAGTTTCCCCTTTTAGTCTTAAAACAGGATTGCCCCTGGATTCTTTCGAGGACAGAGCGGCACAAACAGATTTACAGATCGGTCCCTATTGCTTGTAGCAGAAACATTTAAGTTGCACATGCTGCAATGTGCTTTAATTCCTGTTACTATTGGACCAAGTACCCCTAATTCCTATAAGGGAAAAACGGAATTGGTGTTGTCTTTTGCTCAGCTCAGTGAAAATTGTCCCTTTGGCTTCCCTTCTGTCACACAGCTCACTTGTTGCTTTCACATCCTTAGCGCCAGCCCAGCGCTGCAACGTCTGGGCTGCAAACAGTGCAGCGAAGGCTTGACGCGTCTCGCAAAACAAGCCGTTCTTCTTTTAAGAGGACAAGCTGTGGAAATGCTCCTTTGGCTTTAGGCCTCGTGAGCGCTTTAATTTTGCAAGACCCATGTTTTACTTCAGATCAGACATGACCTTTGCCTCGTTAGCGCTAACAGTTGTGCGGTGTCGGCACATCAGGAAGGCTACATGTATCGGTGTCAGCTGCGTGCAGGAGTTTTGCATTTGAGAACGTGGCCAAGCAGACACTGCCGTGTTACAGCCTTTATTCTGGAGCAAATCAGACTGAGTTGGGGATACTGTGCGGGGTATCGTCAGCCTGAGCAGCTCACAGCTGCTGTCAAGTACTGCCAGGGGGTCGTTATAAGTGCAGTGACCTCTTCTGCAGCTGTGTCTACACGTACTAGGAGGGGGCAGCCCCCCTCTCAGAGTTCAGGGTGCAATCTGAGCATTGCAGGTGGCCAGGGAGGGACCTCTGCCCTACACACTGGACTTGGGTATGTTTTGGGCAGTGGTCCTCTTCCTCCAAGGCAGGCTGTTACTCACTGGTGGGCACAGGACAAGACTGATCCATGGTCCAGTGCAGTGCAGAACATCACATTAACAGCAATATTGCTGGTGCACACCACTGATAACAGCCAGAATCTTAATGGAGAGAGACAGCGGTGTGTAGTGGTCTGAGCACATGACTGGGAGCCCAGGCTCCTAAATTCCAGCCGCGGCTCTTGGTTGGATCTGCTCTCTGACTGAGAAAGTCACGTAGGCCATAAATGCCAGAAGGATCCATTGAGTTAGAAAGCTTCCATTGCTGGGTTTTCAGGGGTGCCAAGCGTGGCTGGCTTCGGTGGGTCTCAGCTGCAGTCATAGCTGCTGGACAGTTCTGGAAATTGGGCTCAAGCGGTCTGGAGCTGGGCCCAGAAACTTAGTGTACACTTCTGAAAATGCCTCCCTGGTTCAGTTTCCGTGTCTGTAAAATGGGGATAAGGCTTATTTAGATTGGATCTGCAGCTGCTTGCACATTCTTACCACGCTGCAAAGTGCCATCATCCTGACGACTGTCTGGGCAGAACAGGCACATCTGGGCCAGACCGATGGCTGCACTGGATGCACTTAGGTGCAGGCACTCTCTGCACCGCCTTTTCTGTTTCCTAATTGCAAATTGTGACTTGGTGCTTTGCAGGCTGAGCTCATCGTCGGGGATCAGAGTGGTGCTATTCACATCTGGGACCTGAAAACAGACCACAACGAGCAGCTGATTCCTGAGCCAGAAGTTTCTGTCAATTCGGTTCACATCGACCCTGACGCCAGTTATATGGCGGCTGTCAACAGTTCGGTGAGTCCGACTGGAGCCCTGGGAGAGGAGTAGCCAGGGCTGCAGCAGTTCTGCTGTTCGTCCTGTCACAGGCTTCTCGGCACGGCTGTTGCACAGAGCTTGCTGCACGCTGGGGCAGGAGGGGGTGCTTGTGGCTGGTTCCTGCATCCCTCGTGCCCCTTGCGGTCCAGCCTAGCAGCCAGCTCCTCTCTGTCTGCAGGGGAACTGCTATGTCTGGAATTTAACCGGTGGCATCGGGGAGGAGGTGACTCAGCTCATCCCTAAGACCAAGATCCCGGCGCACAACCGCTACGCCCTCCAGTGCAAGTTCAGCCCTGACTCCACGTGAGTGCTGCCAGCTCGCTGCTCTGCCCCAGCCTTGAACAAAGCCGGCCTTTCAGACCGGGTCTCAGGAGACCGACGGGGCCCTCAGCTGCTGATGCAGGTCTGGCTTCGTTTCCTCTTCCCAGCCGCAGGAAGCGGAGAAGGCAGCAGCTGAGCGATCAGTCTGGCCTCTCGCCTAGTGCCCAGTTGTCGCTTCGCAAGTTCGGCATGGGTAGCACATAGGCTGAGGAGCAATGCATTGACTGCTCTGAGCCCATAAACCTGGCCTGTCCTTTTCTCAGCCCTGTGCTTCACAAGAGGTGGGGCAAATAGTAGCCCTTCTCCTCCAGCATGGGGGCTAGCCTGGGGGGTCTGCGGCTCCTGGCCGACTTTGCTGTCTCTTTCTGGGCCCCGCAGTGTGTGTCACGTTTCCAGAGCCACCGCGGGGAGCATCCCATGGTAGCAAGGAAATGAATCCTGACCACACTCCTGCATCGCTCCCCTCCAGGCTCTTAGCTACGTGCTCTGCAGACCAGACCTGTAAGATCTGGAGGACTTCCAATTTCTCACTAATGACAGAACTGAGTATCAAGAGTAACAACCCAGGGGAAACCTCTCGGGGCTGGATGTGGGACTGTGCCTTCTCTGGGGACTCGCAGTACATCGTCACCGGTAAGATACTGGGCCCCCCGTGCAGCTGGCTGTTGAGCCTGGATGGGGCCACAGGGTTTGCTGGTCTGTGCTGTGGGTGCCTGGGGATTTGAAAGGCAGATTTTCCCCATCAACTCCCAAGGGCACCTGTGGAGCTGGGAAGTGGATCCCCTTCCTTCCCCTGCTTTGAGCAGGGGGTTGGACTAGATGACCTCCCGAGGTCCCTTCCAACCCTCACTTTCTACGATTCTGTGAACACACACGAGCTTGTATGGGCACACTGCTCTGCTGCGTGTCCAGCTTAACTCCCTTTGCGTGTGGGCATGTGGCACATCTGCCATGTAATAAACTGACTTTACTGCATCATAGGGCTGGAGTGAGCACCCAGTGCACAGCCCAGGTTCACAGCAGATGGCTCAGGTGGAGGGTAAACATACCACTCAAGAAACGTGCTGTGGCTTCACTACATGGGAAAGTTACTGCCTGGTAAAGCAGACAGACAACGTGTTCTGCGTGGTAAAGTTACTCCAGAGTAATATCCAGGGTAAAACTCTACGCAGTAACAAAGGCAACGTCTGTGGCCGGCGCCATTGTGCCTCGTCCTGTTTGTAGCAGGGAATCTCTAGACCCGTAGGGCGCACTGTGTTTCATTTGGTGGAAGAGCAGCCTCACATCTAAATGGCCACGTGGTATTTACCACTGCATCGCACATCCCTCAGGAATATCGGAAACCCGGTTCGGGCAGACGCACACCATGATACAAGACTCCCTGCCCTGTCTGCCACTGCCCGGCGCTCTGGTGCACTGGGCTAACGAAGCAAGGAGCTGGGATTCTTTGCAGGAGAGAATGGGCAGGCATATTGCATTCAGCCTCTCCTTGTTTACCGTTTCAGCTTCCTCGGATAACTTGGCCCGGCTTTGGTGTGTGGAGACGGGCGAAATCAAGAGGGAATACAGCGGCCACCAGAAAGCTGTCGTCTGCCTCGCTTTCAATGACAGCGTGTTGGGATAGCGAGTGCGTGCAGGTGTGAGGACAGGTAAGGGCCCGAGCCTGCAGCGTGCTGAATGCCATCAGCCAGCACCCTTTGCTGGTTAGGAAATGCACTCTGAAGTATTTCCTTGAAAAGAAGGACAACTGCCCCCCGGCCTGGGACCCATCGTGGGTCACAGTGGGTGGGATAGCACACCGCACGGGACCCCCCCCAGGCCTGGTGTCTGCAGCGCTGACTGCTGAATGATGCCCCCAGGAAGTTCCTGTGTTAGCAGGGCAGCCGCCCTGGGCATCTCTCAGCTTGGAGTTGCATAATGGAGTGTGCAGGGGAGGGAGAGGAAGCGCAGGCCTTCTCTTCTGTTGCAACTGGTTTATTCACCGTCTGTTCTACAGGCTTGGTGGAAGATGGGCTTGGATGGACTCAAGCGTATCCGGTGCAGCAGCTGACCAGTGGTGCAGGCAGCTGCAAAGCTTTAAGAAGCCCTACTCCTACAGTGTGGAACAAGGGTGTGCCCTCACCTAATGGCTGCCGATCTAAAGGGCACGGCTGTAAATAAAATGTACATACTGACAAGGTCGGAAATGGGTGCCTGTCTTTATAACCCTCCGGCTCTCTCCTACCCTCCCTTAAACGGCACTGTGCAGGCAGCCTTGTGGGGCATCTCATGTAGGAATGAGCCAAAAAGCTTAGCCGCCAACATGTATGTTTAACTCGGAGGCTTCCTGGGAGTTCAAGTATGATGAGGAGTGAGTGGTGGGGGAGGCGGGTCCCCTGGCTGCCCAGCTTACTCAGGCAGGTAGTAGAAACAGATGGACACACAGATGTTGCTTGGGAAGCAGATGTCGATACACAGGTAAATCAGCCGCTGCTTCCCAGGCCCTGCCGAAAGAGCAAGTGGGAGAAAGGCCTTGTAAGCAAGGCTGGTTGTGTAGCGAGGCCCTGGTGGAGCCCTTCTAGTTCTTGGGGACTGGTTCAGATCGAGCAGTGCCGGCTCTGGCAGGCGGCTGTCAGTCGATGGAAGGAGGGGGTGGACATTAACCCGTGGAGCTGCTGCAGGCACTCAGTGAAATTTGATTTTGGCGGTGCCTGCTGAGCTTTCGCGGAGAGCCCCTACAGCTGATGCCCTCGTTGGGCCTGAGCAGAGAGGACGTGAGCGGACGGGCTGTGGAGACTCATCAGTGGAGGGCATCTGCTCTAAGTGGGGACTCGATGCTCTGCCTGGTTTGGACAGGAAGGCTTCTGTCAGCACAGCCCTCACTGTCTGCTGCCCTGGGGATGTGCTTCAAGCCTGGAGGCCATCTGTGCAGCACCTTTCCCCTGCTTAAAGGTCACTAAATGTCTCTCTCCTGCGAAGTGACAGCTTTTCCCTGACACGTACATTCAAAATCACCCCCATGCTGCTCTGTTTCCCCTGGTTCCTGGCTGAGCCAGGCTTCTCACTGGGTGCTGGAGTAGTAGTGACATCTCCCCCTCCTTCAGAAGGTAGTTCCTCCCACTTACCATCCCCTTTCCTGACCCAGTAAATGGAGCCCAGTTCACAGAGGGCTCGGACGGCTTCCCCCACACCTGCAGGGTCCACCGGTGCAACGGCTACGATCCCCAGGAACTCTTGGACGTACTTGGTTTGGTTGTTCTGGAGCAGCCGTGGATCATCCTGAAAGAAAGGCCACCCAGTTACGTGGCACAAGGGAGAACCCTGTCCCCACCAGGCACTTCTGCTTCCTAGGGTGGTTTTCACACAGGCCTCCTGAGAGTGCTCTCTGCCCACACGACAAGCACGAGAGGCCTCGTAGGGAATCCGCAGTCCCCCTGTGCTGCCACCTCACGGGGACCTGCCCTATGACTACAGACAACAGGATGCCCCTTGCAAGAGGCTGCACGCTGGCCGGGGAGTTTCCCATAGAGGGGATTTTCTCTTTCCCAGGATGTTGCCTTGGGCGAGGAGAGCTCTGTTTGCCGCCAGGTAGGTGGGTCACTATAACCACACAGCCCCGAGTCCTTAATACAGCCATGCACATCTTGCACACGTGGCTCTGCCAGTGCAGCTCAGTTGGGAGTAAATCTCACCTCCCCTACTTTACACATGGGGATCATCGCAGAGCTTGCTAGTCCATCTCGTTAGCCGACGTGGCTGTAGCTGGAGGGGTTGGAGCTTTGGCCTCGTACATGCACCTTCCTAGGTTGATGCCCAGGGCATGGGAGGGGGAAGTGTGGAAGCAGTAAAGCAGACTACCTGGAGAAGCTGTGGCATCTTTGCTGGGAGGGTTTCTAGAAGAGGCTGAATGAGGTGAGCATTTGGAGTGGGCAAGGGACCAAAATCCTGCATCTGCACAGGAGTCAGAAATCCTGGAGCTGGAAGGGGTTCCCACCATGCTGCGCCCAGTGAGGAATGAGCCCCTGGGGATGAGAGGAACCCCTCTCCTGACTGCTGTTTCCCTGCTCTGGTGAGCAGCTGTGCTGCCTCTGCATTAGCCAGACATTCTCCCTTCACTTCTCTCAGGGGCCTGGGAGCCAGACTATGGCTTCCATCCCAGGGGCCAATTCCCTGGCTGCGTGTGCTTAACGGCGTTCTCATGGGTCTCTTGTTCCTGCTGCCGTTTGTGCCGAGTGCTCCTGACTGCTCAGCGTGGGTATGGGAAGAGGCAGTCAAAGGACAAGCGGCCTCAAGCACCCCCCCCTCCCCTCCCTGCAATAAGAAGGAAAAGAAATTCAGCCGCCTGCCCAAGGCTTGGCATCTGCTTTCGAGTCATCAAAAATGGGGCCTTCTGTCTTCCTGAAACAGAATCTGCACCTCTCCCCGCTATGAAACCCATTAACATTCTGTTCAGAGGGTTGTTAGACATCATTACTCCAACTTATTTCGCTGCGGATTTGCTAACAAAACACCCTTTGTTTCCTGTTCCCCAGAGTTATCGTTAGCAGGTAACCAAATCCAGCAGGATTGGATTTTTTGAAAGCCTGGTGACTTCAAACCCGCGTGGCACCCGTGTCCTGCCCTTCCTCCCCCACTCCTCCTGCTTCGTATAAAGACATTCAATCAATAAAAACTCCATCGATTACTTCCTTCCAGTTGAGTGTAAACCACGCAGTCAGACTCCAGCTGGGCTGCTATTGACAGGCAGAATTAAGGGACGCACTTTTCCTAAGAATAACTCCTTCCTTGGAAAGTACAAACAGCAGAGAGTCTTCACAGCTGGAAGACCTGATGGATTCGACTTCACTTGCCCCATCTCACTTCAATAAAGTCCCTGGGAACACGTGAACCTGGTGCAGGGGACTCAGAGAAGACAGGCCCTGTGATGCTGAGGGCCCTTCATCACCCCGCAGTCCAACCACCCCTCTGCAAGTCACACCCCTGCTCACCCTGTGCACAGATGCATTGAAAGACAGCTGGATGTTCTCCAGGTCCTGATGGTCCATCCTCCGCAGGAAACATGCACTTTGCTCTGCAGGTTTGTAACAGACGTAGCCCTGCGGGGTGGGGGGGGGAGGAAGGGACACAGAAAGGTTCATTTTAGTGACAGACAGCCCATGTGTGCACAACACTTGGCCACCGCTGAGATCTTAGCTTGAACACTCCTGGCCCTTCACTGGGATATGTTTTTAATAAAGTAACATGGGTTGCCTCTCGGTAGGAATGAGCATGCCGTGGAGACAGCAGATCTGGAGTAAGCCATGGTAATGGGTGGTGGGAGCCTGCAGAACAGACAGTAGCGACTTCCCTAGTAGGCTCCACAGTGCAAAGAAACCTCTGTGCAAGCGGGTGATGATGTCGTACTAGCGGTTCTCGTTTGCATCTGCTAAATTACATCAGACGAGAGGAAAGCACTGAATGGGTGCGAGGCATCCAGGGTCACTCCAACCTGTATGTGGCTGCCTGCCTCAAGGCCTAGCCTTGTAACAGCAGACATGAGCCACTAGAAAACCAAGTGGACCTTCTCAGGCTGGAATCACAGAAAAGTCAGGCTGGAAGGGATCTCCAGAGGTCATATCTAGTCCAACCCCCTGCCTGAGGCAGAATCATCCCTGTCCAAACCACCCTATACAAATCCATAAACTAACCTCTTTGAAAAAACTACCATAAAGCCTGACCCAACACAAGACATCACATCCAAACCTGCCACAGGTAAAGCAGGGGAACCAAGGCAGAGGAATCCCCTGCTCTTGTCCACACCCTGCGCTCAGGATACCTGGCAGAGTTGGGCAAGGTTTAGTCACAGCTCCCGGAGGAGGCCCGGTCCCTAAATTGGCTGTTGCAATTGCAGGATCGCTCTCCCCCACCACCCTCATATGCAGAGCACAGTCAGCCGGTGACGGCCACTCACATTCTGGCTGTCAAACAGCACCACAGCTGTGCGGTTACTCGGCGAAGTCACATAGTAAGTGATGGTGCTCCTGGACTGGTCCACAACAGCTGTCTGGTTCACCAGGGAGCCCTGCTGGTCCTGAAATGTCAGCCGGGCAATCTGCAAGAGAGGCTGAGCACAACCAGGGTGAGCACCGTGCCCACGTGCTTTGCCCCACCCAGCACCATGGCTCTGGAGTGCAGAGGGAACCATGGGGGGCTGCTGTGCCCCGCTGTCAGTCTAAGCTCCTTGGTAATAACCAGGGGCAAATGCAGGTGAACAGGGTGAGCAAATCCCATTGATGAAGGCTCCAGCATGAGTGTGAGCAGGCACATACCTGCTGCACTGCCTCACGGTGCTGGAGATCTCGCCCCTCACGCAGGCAGGGAGGCCTGAGCCATAGAAAACCTGGGCTCTAGCCGGAAAATGTGGAGGCAATGCACAAAGGATGCCCCCCAGGACAACAGCTGGTGCAGGGGATCATCTCACCCAACAGCCTCTTGCCCTGCCAGGAGGCAGCGTGTTGGCTGGGGAGAGGAAGTTGTGGGTTCCTCTGAGATCCTCCAGGAGCCACAGCAAGTCAGAAATGGGGAATTGCTTTGCGGCCCGGGGACACCTTCCCTCCAGCACAACTGGTTATCTTGCTGCAGAGACACCTTATGGCTTTGCTACGTGGCAGGGAGCTGCCGTTGTACATGCACCTGTTTCAGGCTCTCTGCAGACTCTGGCAGCCATGACAGGGGCGGTCTCTAGGGTTCTGCTTTCAAACAACTTTGCAACCACAAAGGTAGAGATTTACTGAAAAATAACTATTCTCCATTAAAGGTGAGACTCTGAGATGGTCATGAAGCCAGCACCTGGGGCAGTGACTGGTGCTTAGGGATGAATTGGTCCAGCATGGCTTTATTTGATTTCTCACAGAGGAGCAAACACTGCTGTTTTCTTTCTAATCCCTGACCTGATGTGTCAGATCTTTCAAGAGAAGAAAGAAATTTCTTCTGCCTCCAGCCAAACAGCCTGATGGGGATTACGGAGAATGAAGCTGCTCTCGGTAGGAAGCAGCAGGTTTACAAGAGAGAAAGATATTGGGAAAAACAAATTAAAAATTGTGTTTGTCCTCCGCAAGGGGAGATGCATCATTTGAACCAAACTGTCACCTCTGTGGCCCACTATGGGACCCCACTGACCCTAAGTTTAATTGAGAGCAGAATTTGATAGAAAAAATGCTCAACAACTAGAAATATTTTCAGGCTACCTATTTGTAAGAAACTGTAAAACGAGGAAGGAAAAAGGTGCCTGGAAATGCAAATCAGTTGCAAGGTTTTCCCAGAAGAAACTGACCCAAGCGATCCCCAATTAACTTCTTACCTTGGCAGTGCTCTGGGCGAAGCTGAGAGCGCCTACCACACTGATGCCGACAATTGTAAAAAACAAGATTATAGACAAGATGACCCAACATATCCTGGAGGGGGTTTTTGATTCTGCTGCAGGTCTTCTATCCTGGGAGCCAAGATACGCTGATCAATATGTGAGACGGCAAATGGAGTTAAAAACAACAGAGTTGACATTTATTTCCCTCAGCGGTATGAGCAAAATTATTGTGTGAAATGCACATGACTGATAGCTCTGGAGATTAAAGGTAAAATATTAAGGCTTGTTTACATAGAGAAAGAGACCAGCAAAGCTTCCAAAGCCAAGTAATTTTACTGGAATAAACCTGATTTTATTTCAGTGTAGAGAGTATCCATGTGGAGAGATATACTGACTCGTTATTGTGGTATAGCTACAGCACTGCCGTTTAACCAGGCGCTTTCCCCATGTAACAAGGTTTTCAGAATACTTGTAAAGCCACCTGAACAGTCCAGGTTTTGTGAGTGGGAGAGCAGCTGTCTGAGCTTTTGCGATGGTAGAAATATAGGAGAAACTCCCTCAGTGTTCAGTGAGGCATAATTACCACACTTTTTAAATTCTCTGTAATCAACTGTTCCTTGCCCTTCTCCTACAAAATGTTTGCTTGTATTTTATTGTCCCATTCAACTTGTTACTTAATAAGAAAAGCCCTTAAACTTGGGAGTCAGATTGGTATTTCTAATATTTCTGCAGGACTTTTTGCTGGAAAGAACATTTCCAGCAGTTTAATCGAAAAAGGTTAATTCTCACGTATCTGCACATTTGAAATACTTTGGTTGTAACAACACAACAGACTGCAAAGAGACCCAAGTTCTGCACAAACCCACAGAGTGCAACGTTAGCAGAAAAAACAGCTAGTACAAAGAGGCAGCTAATAATTGCAAGCAGGTAAATTTGGCTAGAATCAAACCAGAAGGAAGCTTTTCTATTCTGTCAACACATTGTTAATTCACTTATACTGAAACCCACAATTTACCTGCTTTTGCAGTAGTTGAACTATTCTAGGAAAACATAGTAAGTGTTAAATTGCCCACAAGAGGCAACAAGCAGAAAAATTAGAGGTACTTGTATTTGAACACCTGTCTGCTTAGACAGAAACTTGCACAACAGTAATATGTCTGAGATTTTCAGTAGCAAATGAAATTGCCCTGAATTGTAGAGACAGATTTACAGTGACAGGAGAAACCTAGTACAACTAAGTCTTGTCTTTCCCACTGCATCTTTCTGTGTAATTCTGCAAATTCTGGAGAAGTTACAATATAAACATCGTGATGTATTAGCATCACTGTCATTTAATGTTACTAAATACATATCCCTAGAATTTCACTCATTTTGTGCATCCTCCCTGCTATAAGTGTAGGGGATAATCTTTCAGGGAACAAACCAGAGGTTTGAACCAATCGCCAGGGAGTCAGCTTGAAGTGGCTGAGGCTCCTGCAAAGTGCTCAGCACCTAGTTCTCACCAGGGTCCATGTGAATTGGAATTATTTAGCACCGCTTGGAAACGCAGGCAACTCCTTCTCCCACCCCACAATGTCTGTGAAAATACAGCACCAAGGACCCTGTGGAGGTAAAGGGTACTGAGATCCCTTCCCTTCTGCCAGAGCAAGCCAGGTGCCACAATACTCACTGTAGTCGTGGTCTTGCTGCTACTGCTCCTTCCCTCCATCCTCCCAGTCTAGTTGCAAGCCTTGCTCCTGCAGCTCCTGACAATGTGCAGATTGTGTATGACCAGATCCTCTGAATGTGCCTAGAAACGTAAGCATGTGTCCATCACGGCCAAGGAAACTTCCAGCCCTGCCATTCAGCTCAGGTATCTAAGCAGAGCAGAAACCTTAGATGCCACATTGGAAGAAGGGGAAATATTAGTGCAGAGTGATAGTGTCATTAGCCTAAAGCAGCTTTTCCTGCCTCCCTGGGGCCAGCTGAAGGCATTTAGGTAGGATACAATCAGGGGCTTTGTGCAGGGCAGTCCTGGCTGGCAGGTGCCATACGCGTGGCTGGACAGATCTCATTGACAAGGGGATATTGAATAAGGGAGGGCAGCTGCTTGCCCTTGTCATCTGATTACTTTCAGATTTCCAAGCCAGGTCAACCCTGGGCAGACAGCTCTGCATCCAGGACCAATCCAGCAAGGATCACAGGAGCCTGGACTCATCTCAGGCTTTACTGACCCACCTCAACCAATTTAATGTGCTCAGTCCAGCTCCCACAAGAGAAAGGATCTGCACCACACAGCTGTTACCAGAATGGTTAGGTAGATCTCTGACATGTGGCCACCCCAAGCCTAGTTTCTGTTCTTATACATGCCAGAGACTCTGCGGGCCCAAAGACCAAGGTTTCTACCATTCACAGCCAACCTATTTAAGATCCAGAACCCAACCCAGTTTCCTGGAACTCCTAATTGCTCTAACCAGGTTCAGTCTTCTATGGTTTTCTAGCAGCAGCAGGAACAAAGCTAAGCTGACAACTTACCCTTGGATTTTTTCCCCCCCTCTTTTTAAGTCATTTCTTTCCCCTCTGCTCCCGGTATTTCCTTTCAATACATTTAATTCCGTAAGAGGAACAAAGACCAAACAAAAGCACATAAAAGTCAGACACTAAGAGCAAAGAAAGTGATGCTGCTCCTCATTATCCCGGATTCTTTTTGTAGGACTTGAATTCAATGAAAACATGAGGTTTATATATTGGGAAACAAAATCAAAGCTAGCCAAGGGTCTTCTATCCTCCCTGTTCTGGCCAGAAAGGGTTCTTTCTTACCAGCCCTCAACTCCTTTGAAGCTGCGAAGGCAGTAAAAGAAATGCCAACATGTTTTAAGAACGTTAATGGTGGAGCACAATAGCATGCATCTCAAAGTAGCCCCAGTTCTAACGGAGCAAGGGTAGGCAGTGAAGCAACTAAACTACAAGGCTTAGTTCTGCAAAACAAAGACACAGAAGGTGTCAAGTCATTCCCCAGACATCCTCTACTCTGACTTGCCTCCGTGATGATGAAACTTATGATTGTATTTCATCAGATGTCTGTGGAGATCTCTCCCCACCCGTCTGTCCCTCTGCAGATAACATTTCAAGAGCCCCGCAACTTCTCTGCGCTTTTTCACTCTCTCTTTGTTTTAGACATGTTCATACTACCTGTAAACTTGAGACACAAAAATCTAACGAAACCTGGCCCCAGATGATTTTTATGTACATGAACACAAAGGGGCAGGGGATTCTAAAAAGCACAGAGACAGGAGACCATACAAATGAGAAAAGCCAAAAGGAAACAGATTTACAAGTTTAATGTAGATTCAAGTATAGGATTAACAATTCCCCAACAGTTTATACAGAGACCCTTGTAACATGATACAAGTCTTCGCCAATGCACTTCCACAACACGTGGGGAACACTGTGAAGAGAGGTAATGGTTTCATTGCATGGAGAGCTGTTTGCAACAGGGATGACATGCAGCAGTGACAAGATTTAATACCGTAATTGGTACTTCCTCCTTTACTTGACATTGATTGAAAAAATCTATTGACTTTTGATAAGCACAAGTCTAGAAAATTAAATCAAAGAACCTATGGTCTCTAAAGCCTGCCCTACCCACAATAACACCACTACCCATTCCTACATTAGTAGTGTCAAGAACTAGGTCTACCTGATAGACATGTATTTCTTTCAAGCCTGAAGAAGTCTCCTAGCAGGAGATGTGATACAAGGAAGAGATAACTTGCGCGCTAACAGAATTCGAAGTTACAGACAGATGCTGACATCAATCTATAACTATGGTTATCTTTTGCAAGAACGTTTTCAGCTAATATCCTGGTAACACTGACAGACACGGTGAACTCTGAAGTTATTGCTGTATGAACAAGGTGACGCGCGTATATGTTTCAAGTGTTTAAGCATGAGGAAATAGTACTGGAATACGCTGCCTGAGTTGTTCAGGCTAAACAACAGGAGGTAAATGGAAACAGACTCTTCTTTTCCCACTGAGACTGGAATTACTGTGGAGTATTGGAACACTCAAATTGCATATGTGATTTCTTGAGCTATTTTTGAAATGCAAAAGCTAACCTATTCATTGTGGGCCCCAGGTCAGCAAGGACAAAAGCTATCCAGCAGCCTGAGCTGGGCATCACCCTGGACCAATTTTAAAACTACTACAGTATAAAAGAATCATTAGTTCTCATCCAGGCAAGCAGCTGATTGCGAGCTCCCACATCAGCCGTGCAAAAGGCAGTAAGATTAGGAAGAGAGAGGAAGCACTATGCTGTTAGTGTACTTAGCCAATACTTCACCACAATTAGCCCAAGTGTGTGAGAGAGACCTCATTATCTGTATTATAATCACCTTTCAAGGATGGGGCAGTTTAGAATCTGCAGCCAAAGCTAAGGGCAAGCAATTGTTTTGATACTAAAGCACCAGGAAGGTCCGAGTATGGTTTGAACCGACTTTAAAAGAAGTGAAATGATGGATCCACTTCAGTCTCGGAAATGCTAGCAATAGAGGACGTTTCTGTGCCATTATGTACGTATTATATTACTGACTTAGGATGCAATTAGGTAAAATTAACCCTTCAATACTCAGTGAAGTAAATTCCTCCTAGCCTCCCTTTGGAAAACAAAATATGTTCTCATATATTATATTTTAAATATATTTCTGATATATAGTTATCGTCAGGGCAGTTCCTTTATATACATGTTCTTTACATATACATCCAGTACTTGGACACATATACAGTATACAGAAGAAACTATTCATACATGTTGCACGTCGAACCAGTCCAATTTGTATTGCAAGTGCAACAGATGCAATTAGAAACAGGGAGCACACGTTTTGATTTCTTTCCCCCCCCCGCCCCCAAGTCGCACCAACTCTGGGCTGTTTGTCTAGGTCAGGCTCTGAGTCAGCAAAGACAGGGCCAGATTTTAACAGTGCCGGCCTGTGCAAACATCAGCACACAGCCACTCAATAACTATGCACTCAGAGGGTTAATTCCCTGAATTAGTGACCACGCGCCACACTGTGCCCATCAAGGAACATACTGCAGGTTTGTATTGGTAAAATCTACTCTATTTCCTTTAACCCAGTCCAGAAGGACAAACCCCTGACACTTCCCATTGCAGACATTTGACTGTACTTGTCGATTTAAAAATAAAAGACCCACAGGATGACTGGGTGACACCATAATGCCCTCTTCTTTCCAAAGTGCATTTTAAAAAACAAATTTGTAAACAAAATCATCCGCAAGAGGACTCCGAGGTTAGAGCTAGCAGAGCTGTAATTTCAAGTGGTGTCGCACTGAGCATGTGAATGTAACCGAAGTGATTAATGGCTGCCCTTCGCTAGTGAGGATACCTTTTCAGGAGCTGGAGAGGGGAGCTTTTTTCATTTCTATTTTAATCTTCAAGTGCAGGAAGAAGGTCAGCTATGCTATCGACATAGTAATCAGGAATCAGGTTCCTCCTGGCAGGGCAGTCACTCTCCTGGTGACCTTTCACTTCTTCCAAAGTGGAGACTCCAGTCAGCGTCAGGATGGTGGTGAGGCCGCAGGTGTTGCCCATGAGGATATCCGTGTCCAGCCGATCTCCCACCATGATGGTGCGGGCGGGGTCGATGTCGAACTCGCTGACCACGCAGTCAAAGATGTACCGGCTGGGCTTCCCGATGATGAACGCCTCACGCTCCGCCGCAACCTCCACGGCTTTCACAAGGCAGCCAGTCCCTGAGGGCAGAACCAAAAAGCGAAGTGAAGGACGCAGAATTAACACTGCCGGCGTTTCACAAGCGTGACCCCTGCTACGACAGGCCTCACAATGGGCTGGCAGACAGCTAACAGAGAGCAGGTACAACACTCGTGTGGTAGAAGCCTTTAGCCCATGGCAGGACGGTCTGCGCAGAGCAGTGTGGTGGGAAGCTGAGCACAGCGACCGCCAAGGGCCTGCGCATGAACTGCACGTGCTGTGAAAGCCAGGGGGAGATGAAGGCTTGTGAAGGGCAGGCAGTGAGTGAAAAGCTATAGTTTAGAGATGGAGTACAGGTTTCCCTCACTTTACGTGGTACGTGCGTTCCTGAAACTGCAAATTTGCATCTAAGGAACCCGCTCTATTATGCGGCAAATAGGGACACCCCAAGAACCCAACTGAACTGACCCAAGGGAAACCCGTAGCAAGAAGCTCCAGCCCTGGAGAGCCAAGGCAGCCGGCGTGAACCCCTCCAGCCCCTCGGCTTGCTGCATGGATTTCATAGGCGTTAGGGCTGGAAGGGACCTTGTGACGGCCTCGTCTGCCCCAAAACCCAGGCAAAGGCTGAGCAGAGGTGCCCGCAGCCGCCAACGAGGCCTGGAGGAGCAGGGCAGAGCCATCGCCGGGCCCAGCTCAGGGAAGACACCCCCCGTCCTCCCCAATCCCATCCCCAGGACCGGTCTAGAGACCCCGAGCCACAGTGCCAGATTTGGAATTAAACTACGTTTTAAGACTTCACAATAGGCTTCTAAATAGAACAAAAACGTCCATTTTTTATTTCTTAATAGGAATATGAGGGACCCATAAATATGAAAAAAATGAACATTTTGGTTGTAATAAAAAAGGGGCTTGTCCTTAAAAAAGGACGTATTCATATTACAACCAAAATGTCATTTGTTTATTTAGAGGCCCCTATATTCCTATTAGAACAAATATGTTCATTTCTTAATTTAGAGGCCCCTCATTTCTGTTGTAATGTGAATATGAGACCTCTAAACTTAAAAAAGAAAAAAGAAAAAAGGACACCTTGGTTGTAATAGGAATATGAAGGGCCTCCAAGCAAGGGAAAAAAAAAAAAAAAGGACGTTTTTGCTCTAATATGAATATGAGGGCCTCTAAATAAGAAAAAAAAGGGACATTTTTGCTCTAATATGAATATGAGGGTGCTCTATATATGAAGAAACTGTACATTTTTGTTCTAATATGAATACGAGGGCCTCCAAAGAGACCAAAAGTGTCCATTTGTTTCTTAATAGGAATGTGGGGCCTCTAAATGAGGAAAAAAAAAGGACATTTTTGTTGCAATAGGAATCTGAAGGGACCCTAAATAAGAAGGAAAAAAAAAAAAAAAAAAAGGATATTTTGTTCTAATAGGAATAAGAGGGGCCCTGAACATGAAAGAAAAGGACATTTTGTCCCACTATGAATCTGAGGGGCCCGTAAACAAGGGACATTTGAGTCGCAATGCGGACGCGAGGGGCCTGTGACCGACCGTGGGAACAAGCAGAAGCTTTGCCCCGCGCAGGGCCGGCGGAGCAGGTGCTGGGTGCGGGGGGAGGGGGCGGGCGAGGCG